TGCAGCCACACAATGGATATTCATCAGCCAGAGACAAAAGGCCACACAGAGGCCGGGCGCAGTGGCTCACGCCTGTAATCCAAGCACTTTGGAGGCCAAGGCGAGCGGATCACCTAAGGTTGGGAGTTCAAGACCAGCCTGATCAACATGGTGAAACCCCGTCTTTAAAAAAAAAAAAAAAAAAAAAAGGTCACACAGTCTATGACTCCACTGATATGAAATGCCCAGAACAGGCAAATCCAGAGAGACAGGAAGCAGGTCAGTGCTTGCCAGGGGTGGGATGACTGATACTAGGGAGGATGGGGTTTCTTTTGGGGTGATGAAAGTGGTCTAAATTCTGATCATGGCAATGGTCGCACAACTCTGTGAATATACTAAAAAAAAAAAAAAAATCAATAAATTGGACACAATTCATTATTATTTTTGAGACAGAGTCTCACTCTGTCACCAGGCTGGAGTGCAGTGGCACGATCTCGGCTCACTCCGCCTCTCATGTTCAAGCGATTCTCCTGCCTCAACCTCCCAAGTAGCTGGGATTACAGGCATGCACCACCATGCCTGACTAACTTTTGTATTTTAGCAGAGACAGGGTTTTGCCATGTTGGCCAGGCTGTTCTCAAGCTCCTGACCTCACGAGATCCACGCACTTTGGCCTCAAAGGGCTGAGATTACAGGCAAGACCCATGGCTACCGGCCGCTAAATCGGACAGATTTTAAATGGGTGAATTGTATGGTATGGTTTGAGAATCTCAATAAAGATATTAAAGACACAAGATGAAAAGGAAAGGGCTACCTGCTAGGATCAGGAGGGAGTGGGGACAGGAGAACTGGGTGTGGGAGACAGCGGGGGTGGGGGTGGAAGTCATTTCAAGAGGGGCGTGGATTAAAAGCAGCCTGAGTGGGGCGCGGTAGCTCACGCCTGTAATCCCAGCACTTTGGGAGGCCGAGGTGGGTGGATCACGAGGTCAAGAGATTGAGACCATCCTGGTCAACATGGTGAAACCCCGTCTCTACTAAAAATACAAAAAATTAGCTGGGCATGGTGGCACCTGCCTGTAATCCCAGCTACTCAGGAGGCTGAGGCAGAAGAATTGCCTGAACCCAGGAGGCGGAGGTTGCGGTGAGCCGAGATCCCACCATTGCACTCCAGCCTGGGTAACAAGAGCGAAACTCCGTCTCAAAAAAAAAAAAAAAAAAAAAAAAAAAGCCTGAGCCAGCCTAGCATGTCCTAGGACGCTGGCAATGAGTGAATGGCTGGGCAAGGCAGAGAGGGGAGCGGGTGCCAGGCTTGGGGCCACCAAGCCTTTAACAGGAGCAGAGAAGGTAGGTCCGATGGGGGAGGACCGCTGAGGACCATGGCTCAGGAGAGGCAGGGGACTAGCCCGGCGTGGTGGTGCACGCCTGTAGTCCCAGCTACTCAGGAGGCTGACGTAGGAGAATCGCTTGAACCCAGGAGGCGGAAGTTGTGGTGAGCCAAGACCGTGCCATTGCATCCCAGCTCGGGCAAGAAGAACAAAACTCCATCTCAAAAAAAGATAAACAAATGAAAAGGGAGACACAGGGGAGGAGGACAGAGGGGCCTGTGCACTTGGTCTTCTGCTGCAGAGCAGGCTGCTTCCCAGAGGGGTCCTCCTGGCACATCCTGGCTTTAGTGGGTCCAGGTTACCCCAGGCCTCACCAACAACTGGAAATCCTGGCATGACATGTTGTATCTCTTCAGCTCAGCTGTGAGCACTTGGGGACAGGGCCCGGCATCATATGCTCACTCAACAATGAAAGCAGGGCCACAAACAAAGAGCACACCAGCAGAGGGGAATCCTCCTCGCTCCTCTGCCAGGAAAGGCTGGGGTGGGTATGTATGTGCTGTAACAAAAGTCCACGACATTAGGAGACCCAACCCCGGGTAGTGGTATTTAGGGCACCACAATGCTGTATTTTTATACAAAAATGAGATGCTGCGGCCTGGTGCGGTGGCTCACACCTGTAATCCCAACACTTTCGAAGGCCGACACCGGTGGATCACCTGTGGTCAGGAGTTCGAGACCAGCCTGGCCAACATTGTGAAATCCCGTCTCTACTAAAAATACAAAAATTAGCCAGGCATGATGGGGCACGCCTGTTATTCCAGCAACTTGGGAGGCAGAGACGAGAGAATTGCTTGAACCCGGGAGGCAGAAGTTGCAATGAGCTAAGATCGCACCACTGCACTCCAGCTTGAGTGACTGAGCAAGACTCAAGTCTCCCCCCAAAAAAAAAAAAAAAAAAAAAAAAAAAAAAAAAAAAAAAAAAAAAAAAAAAAAAAAAAAGAGATGCTAGAAGTGGGGAGCTCAGGGATCCCCCAGGGCTGGGGTCCTTCTGTGGCCTGGTCTGGCTGCAGGTCTCACAGGTGCACATTTGGAGAGAGACCCTGTGCTGCACACCTGACATAGCTGGGTAGACCAGATTACACCTGAGAAAAATGACACACGGCCAGGCACAGGGGCTCACGCCTGTAATCCCAGCACTTTGGTAGGCTGAGGCTGGGGAATCATCTGAGATCAGGAGTTTGAGATCAGCCTGGCCAACAAGGTGAAACCCAGTCTCTACTAACATTACAAAAAAAAAAAGCCGGGCGCGGTGGCTCAAGCCTGTAATCCCAGCACTTTGGGAGGCCGACGTGGGTGGATCACGAGGTCAAGAGATCGAGAGCAACCTGGTCATCACGGTGAAACCCCGTCTCTACTAAAAATACAAAAATTAGCTGGGCATGGTGGCTCGTGCCTGTAATCCCAGCTACTCAGGAGGCTGAGGCAGGAGAATTGCCTGAACCCAGGGGGCAGAGGTTGCGGTGAGCTGAGATCACGCCATTGCACTCCAGCCTGGGTAACAAGAGCGAAACTCCGTCTCAAAAAAAAAAAAACCAAAAACATTACCAAAAAAAAAAAAAAAAAATTAGCCAGGCGCAGTGGCATGCACCTTTAATCTGTAATCCCAGCTACTAGGGAGGCCAAGGCAGGAGAATCGCTTGAACCTGGGAGGAGGAGGTTGCAGTGAGATGAGATCATGCCACTGCTCTTCAGCCTGGGCAACAGAGCAAGAGTTGATCTCAAAAAAAAAAAAAAAAAAAAAAGGCTGGGTGCGATGGCTCCCACCTGTAATCCCAGCACTTTGGGAGGCTGAGGCAGGTGGATCACCTGAGGTCAGGAGTTTGAGACTAGCCTGACCAATATGGTGAAACCCCATCTCTACTAAAAACACAAAAATTAGCCAGGCATGGTAGCAGGCAACTGTAGACCCAGCTACTCAGGAGGCTGAGATAAGAGAATAGCTTGAACCCAGGAAGTGAAGATTGTAGTGAGCCGAGATTGGGGCACTGCACTCCAGCCTGTGTGACAGTCAGACTCTGTCTCAGAAAAAAAAAAAGAAAAATGAGAAAACTCAGAATGCGTTATATTCCTCCAATGTGTTCTGGGACAGGACTCGTGGGCCAGATCCAGCCTGAAGCCTTTTTTTTTTTTTTTAAATTTTTGGTAGAGGTGGGGGTCTCACTATATTGTCCAGGCTGGTCACAAACTCCCGGGCTCAGGCCTTCCTCCAGCCTCAGCCTCCCAAAGTGTGGGGATTACAGGCATAAGCCATCTGGCTGAGAGGCAGCCTGTTTTTGTATAGCCCTCAGGCTAAGAACACTTTCCATTTGTAAATGTTGTCTCAGTAACTGAACCGTTCTGGCCAGCCAAACCCAAAATACTTGTCATCTGGCCCTTTATAGAAAAAGTCTGCCAATCTCAGTTCTGGGATACAAGAAAAACAAGAAGGGAAGCTGGCCGCGGTGGCTCATGCCTGTAATTCCAGCACTTCGGGAGGCTGAGGCTGGAGGATCACCTGAGCCCAAGAGTTTGAGACCAGCCCGGTCAACACAGCTGAACCCCTGTCTCTATAAAAAATAAAAGAAAACCAAGAAGGAGCTGAGGAGGATTTTTCACCTCAAACTGACTTTTCCACTGTCCGAATTGTCACATTTTTAAATTACCATGCTCATTTTTTTGTTGTTGTTTTCTAATTGAAGCATAATGTGGACGACATGTAATTTAAATGTAAAGTTTGATGAGTTAAGACACATGCATTCCGCAGAGCACGGTGGCTGTGCCTGTAGTCCCATCTGTTTGGGAAGCCGATGGAGGTGTATCACTTCAGCCCAGGAGTTCAAGCCAGCCTGGGCAAGATGGCGAGACGCCATCACTACAGAAAATACAAAAAGCCAGATGCAGGCTTGTACTCCCAGCTACTCGGGAGGCTGAGGTGGGAGGACGGCTTGAGCCCAAGGGGCGGAGGTTGCCGAGATCATCACTCTAGCCTAAGCTACAGAACAATACCCTGTCTCAAAAAAAAAAAAAAAAAAAAAAAAAAAAAAGGTAATGTATGTAGTCATCCTTAAATTATGTTTAAAGGTTTGTATTTGTCTGTTAACTCTGGGGACTGAGTATGGGCACCTTTTAAGTTCTCTTTTTCATTTTTCTGTGTTCAGCCTGTTAACAAAATTTAACATGTTACCTAAAACATTTGAAAACTTTAAGAATAGGGATTCCAGGGACATCTTGCAGGCGAGGGGCTGCCTGCATCTAACCACCGCATCTAACATCTTGTAAATTACCCCCAGGTTCCAGGTTGTGGCCTTAGCTTTGCCTTGGGGAGTCGCGGGCTCTTTTGGGCCTCAGTTTCCCCATCTGAGAAACCCAAGGGTGGCCAAGGGCCCGGGCGCAGGCTATGCCTCAATTTAACCTACTGTAAAATGTAAATAATCGAAGGGAACAATCTCCTGGGCTGTTACGAGAAGGAGGCAGAGCTGGGAAAGCGCTCAACAAACTGCAGTAGTTGCTGTTATTATAGAAGCTATGGGGGATCTCCGGGCTCCGCCTCCGGTCACACCGCCGGGGAAACTGAAGCCCGCTTGTGTCCCCTGAACCACGCCCCTGAGCCCCGAATGCCCAGACTCTGAGACCCGGACGCAGAGTGATACTAACCTGACAGTCCTCGACGCGGCAAGTTCCGTTTGTAGTCGATGGGCCCATAGCCCCCCACAGGGGGCATGTCCTGCTTCACCTTCGACGCCGCCATGCTCACTGAATCCCGCACTTCCGGCCCCGGGCGGAAGTGACGTATGTCACCGCCATGATGAGTGTGGCGGAAGCATTTGAGAACGTCTTCCGCAGCGCTGGGAAGCCCCGGGGACTAGTGTAACTACCCGACCGCGCCTGAGAGCTCAGATGGCTGACCCTGGGTCCGAATGCGCAGCTAGGCTGCAGCTGAGGAGTCTTTATTCCCTCTTTCCCCCAGACAGGGCGTGACTCAGTCGCTAGGACCCCCTGGTTCTTGCATTAAAGGCCCTCGCGTTCACTTTGCTTCTGGAGTGTTGCGCAGGCCAGTCAGAAACTCCGAGCTCCCGAGAGAGCCAGGTGCCCTAGTTAAGGCCCCTTTTCCCGTTTTCGCCCTCACTAGGGACTCTACCGGAAGCCCAGGGCTCGACGTAGTCACGGGCTGGGTACATGATGTTGGGGAGCAGCTGCTGCTCGATTTCGGACTCACCCCAATCCCAGGAACGGATTCTGCTCCCTGGTGGTGGTGGGTATCCCTTGCTAGTGGCCTCTCATCGGAAACTGACCATTCAGGGTGATTATGAGTCACAAAGCAGGGAGGCTAGGGTGGCCCCGGGGCGGGGTCCCGGACCCCCACCCCAAGATGGAGTGACGCCCGAGGTCACTTCACAAGGCAAAAATTGTTACGGGGCAATAAAAGGCATAACAGCGGCCAAGGAGTGGCAGAGGGCACATGGGGGTGCGGGGGTGCAGGTGCCAAGCGCCATGGGTTAGACCCGAGATTGGAGTCCGGCCGCCCCCCGACAGCAGCCGCCTCCTGCTCCGCGTGCGCCCCAGGCGCCACCATGTCGGGTGACAAACTCCTGAGCGAACTCGGTTATAAGCTGGGCCGCACGATTGGAGAGGGCAGCTACTCCAAGGTGAAGGTGGCCACGTCCAAGAAGTACAAGGGTACGGTGGCCATCAAGGTGGTGGACCGGCGGCGGGCGCCCCCGGACTTTGTCAACAAGTTCCTGCCTCGAGAGCTGTCCATCCTGCGGGGCGTGCGGCACCCTCACATCGTGCACGTCTTCGAGTTCATTGAGGTATGCAACGGGAAGCTGTACATTGTGATGGAAGCTGCCGCCACCGACCTACTGCAGGCCGTGCAGCGCAACGGGCGCATCCCCGGAGTGCAGGCGCGTGACCTCTTCGCGCAGATCGCCGGCGCCGTGCGCTACCTGCACGATCACCACCTGGTGCACCGCGACCTCAAGTGCGAAAACGTGCTGCTGAGCCCCGACGAGCGCCGCGTCAAGCTGACAGACTTCGGCTTCGGCCGCCAAGCTCACGGCTACCCAGACCTGAGCACCACCTACTGCGGCTCCGCCGCCTACGCGTCACCCGAGGTGCTCCTGGGTATCCCCTACGACCCCAAGAAGTACGACGTGTGGAGCATGGGCGTCGTGCTCTACGTCATGGTCACCGGGTGCATGCCCTTCGACGACTCGGACATCGCCGGTCTGCCCCGGCGCCAGAAGCGCGGCGTGCTCTACCCCGAAGGCTTGGAGCTCCCCGAGCGCTGCAAGGCCCTGATCGCCGAGCTGCTGCAGTTCAGCCCGTCCGCCAGGCCCTCGGCAGGCCAGGTAGCGCGTAACTGCTGGCTGCGCGCCGGGGACTCGAGCTAGAAGCCCAGGTTCCCGCAATTCCTGCAGCCGAGGACACTGAGCCAGCGCAGCGGACGCACTAGAGGTGCGCTTCGAGGGAATCCACGAAGCTGCCGCGCGTTACTGCGCATGCGCTCTCTCGCTTCCCCTTCTCTTCCCCTCCCTCCCCTGGCGCAGTCCGCAGTAGCCCCTGCTCGGACTCCAAGTCCTCACGAACCGTAGAGCTGGAGGCGCATGCACATCCGTGCTTCCCAGCGACCAGGCCCCGTGAGGGACGAGACCAGAGGGGACAGAAGCGTTGCGTCTGCGCGGAACGAGCTCTGGCTCTGAGCGGAGGGCGTCCCTTCCCCAACCAGCTGAGGGTGCCAGGTTCCCGATTGGAACCTGCAATAAACTCGCTGTTCCTTGTACCTTGCTCTAACGGTGGCACCCCATTTACGGACTAGTGGGGAAGGGGTTGCTCCGACCCGGGAAGGCGGGCGCCGGACGCGGGTCTCCTAATTTTAGAGTCAGGCATTAACATGGGTCTTGCTCCAAGACCCAAAAGGGAGTCAGTAGGATTCGAACCTGGATCTTTTGGGCAAACTCGAAGTAGTTTTGTTTTCTCCGGGTCATGATGGTTCTGTGATGTTGGGCTGGGGAGCAAGAGACCGCCCATATCTCTTTTTTTTTTTTTTTTTTTTTTTTTTTTGAGACACAGTTTCCCTCTTGTTGCCCCAAGCTGGAGTGCTGTGGCACGATCTCGGCTCACTTGCAACCTCCACCCCCCGGGTTCAAGCGATTCTTCTACCTCAGCCTCCTGAGTAGCTGGGATTACAGGCATTCGCCACCACACCCAGCTAATTTTGTATTTTTAGTAAACAGGTTTCTCCATGTTGGTCAGGCTGGTATCGAACTCCCGACCTCAGGTGATCTACCCACCTCGGCTTCCCAAAGTGCTGGGATTACAGGTGTGAGCCACTGCACTGGGCCATTTTGTTTTTTGTTTTGTTTTGTTTTGTTTTGAAACAGGGTCTCTGTTGCCCAGGTTGGCGTGCAGTGGGGCAGTCGTGGAGCACTGCAGTCTCCACCTCCCGGGTTCAAGCAATTCTTGTGCCTTTGCCTCCTGAGTATCGGGGACTACAGGCGCAGGCCATCACACCAGGCTAATTTTTTGTATTTTTTGTAGAGACAGGGTCCCCATGTTGGCCAGGCTGTTCTCGAACTCCTGACCTCAAGTGATCCACCTGCCTCGACCTCCCTAAGTGCTGGAATTACAGGCGTAAGCCACTGGACCTGGCTTACAGCTGTGATTTGAACGCAGATCTAGCCACAGTGGGGGTGGGGGCGGGGGTGGAAGCCCTTCCTGCTGTGGGTCCCTTTCCTCTGGGGAAGAGGGGGTAGGGGAAGTTGGGGGAGGGCTGGGCACGAGTCAGCTGGACCCACTAGCTCGTTCCCTCTGTTCATTCATGTAGTCATGCATTTCTTGAGCACCTACTATCTGTCAGGCCCCAGAGTTCATAGCGAAGAGACTTGGGCCCATCCCTGCCAGAAACGAGACATTTGAAAAGTCAAAGTAAAATAAAAGAGTGACATGGAAATAAAATAATTGTAAGTTGTGCTAAATGCCAGATAGAGTTGGGAGGTGTTCAAAGAGGGACTCTGGATAGGGCGTAGTGGCTCACTCCTGCAATCCCAGAACTTTGGGAAGCTGAGGCGGACAGATTGCTTGAGCCTGGGAGTTAGAGACCAATCTGGGCAACACAGCAAGATCCCCATCTACACAAAAAATTTAAAAATTAGCTGGGGGTGGTGGCTTGTCTCAGCTACTTGGGAAGGTAAGGTGAGAGGATCACTTGGGCCTGGGAGTTCAAGGCTGCAGTAAGCTATTATCATGCCAGTGCACTCCAGCCTGGACCACTCTAGTTTGGACCACAGAAAAAAAAATAAAAACAAGGGACTCTGAAGCTGAGGGAAAACAGTCCAGGTGTTCCCCAGGAAGAAGAGAGCTGGAATGTTTGAGTAAGGCCAGTAAGCTTATTTACCTGGAATAGGGAGAGAGGAAGGGAGAGGAGGAGAAAGAGGTAAGGAGGAAATCAAGAGGGGACCGCACAGGGCCTGGGAGTGGCTGCGATTTGGGAAATATGGGGAAATGGGGTGTATTAGGAAATCCTAATCCTGCCTATCTGCAGATGAGCCCCACATAGCTGGTCTTCTGGTGAGTGTCCCCATGCCCAGTCCCTGCTCAGTCTCAATGGCTTTCTGGTGCCCTGGGGATGCAATACCAGCTCTATCTTCACTCCCTCCAAATAGGGTACGGCTCTGTCCCCCTCAGTTTTGCAGATGAGGAAACTGAGGCTAAAAATGGGGCAGTGCCTAGCCTCCAGTCCTGGCTGGACCATGTCAGAGTGGAAGCAGAAAACCTAGATCCAGGGGCCGGGTGTGGATGGCTCACGCCAGTAATCCCAGCACTTCTGGAGGCTGAGGTGAGCCAATCACTTGAGGTCAGGAGTTTCAGACTGGCCTGGCCAACATAGTAAAACCCCACCTGTATGAAAAATACAAAAATTAGCCCGACATGGGTGGCTGGCACCTGCAGTCCTAGCTATTCAGCAGACTGGGTCAGGAGAACCACTTAAACCCGAAAAATGGAGGTTGCAGTGAGCCAAGATCCCACCACGGCCCTCCAGCCTAGGCAACAGAGCAAGACTGTCTCAAAAAACAAACAAACAAAATAACCTAGCAGCCGGGTGCAGTGGCTCACCCCTGTAATCCCAACACTTTGGGAGGCCGAGGTGGGCGAATCATCTGAGGTCAGGAGTTCAAGACCAGCCTGGCCAACATGGTATAGCCCGGTCTCTACTAATAATACAAAAATTAGCCAGGTGTGGTGGTGCATGCCTGTAATTCCAGCTACTGGGGAGGCTGAGGCAGAAGAATCGCTTGAACCCAGGAGGCAGAGGTTGCAGTGAGCCGAGTCGCACTACTGCACTCCAGCCTGGGCAATAAGAGCGAAACTGTCTCCAAAAGAAACAAACAAAAACAAAAAGAAAAGAAAAAGAGAAAAAAGAAAACCTAGCTCCTCTGGTTTAGTCGAAGGGTGCCGCTCCTGACTGGGGCCAGGCCTCGGACTCCCCACCTCGAAAATGAGGGCAGGAACCCAAGCTCCGGGCGAGTGGGCGTGGCCTTTCCTAGGCTCCCACAGCATTTAGCTAAAATCCACGCCCTCTCCCCGCCTTCCCGCCCAGTCCCACCGCACTGCGCTTTTTGTTCATGACCTGCCATGCTGGCTCCTACCTTCGAGCCTTTGCACACTCCTGGCACTTTTCCCCTCTTCAAGACTTGCCTAAAATGTCACCCCCTGTCCTCCTCTCAAGGTGCTTTATGTTTCTGTCTGCATAGCTCCTGCCACTTCTCCATGCCCCAGGGCGTAGCGCATGTCCTCTGTCCACTGATGAATCTGTGGGAGCAGATGGGGTCAGGGGTCTCTGCCTGCCTCATGGCCACAGACCCAAGGCTTAATTCAAAGGGGACGAGGTGTGTCTCATTTTCTCAGCTGGAGAAGCTATTTGAGACCGTGACCCAGGACCGCCCCTTAGATCTGCCCCAGGGGCACTGAGGAGCCTGTGCCCAATCCAGGGAAGCAGAGCCTCACCAGGGGCCAAGAGCCAAGCCCAGGAGACAGCGCCCCACAAGAACGTTTCTCAGGCCAGGTGAGAAACACCTGCAGCGAGCCTGTGGCCCCAGCTACGTGGTAGGTTGAGGTGGAAGGATAGCTCGAGCCCGAGTTTGAGGCTGCAGCGAGTGAGCTATGATCGTGCTGCTGCACTCTAGCCTGGGCAACACTGACAGCTTATCTAA